GTCGTGGAAAACATCAATCACCTGTTCCCATCTGGGCTGCCTGAAGCTCGCCTATTCCCGCCTGGTCAGACGCTTATGGCTTGTTGGGATGACCTGACTATTCCCAACAATCGCAGTTTTGAAGACGCCTCGCCTAGTTTCTCTTGGCCTCGACCTCGACCTCGATTCGGGTCTCTTGGTCTCAGCCGCGCCAGTGGGCCGAACTGATCCACATGATGCGTGAAGGCGAAAGACTTAATTGTGCTGGCTCTTCTCGTCTCATTGTTTTTGTGCGCTTTCTCGCCTCAAGCTCTGCTTATGCAACAACTGCAGCTTGATTTTGTGTCTTTTGGCCAGAAAAGATTGTCACTCTTCTTAACTCCACTCCAAGATTGCAATCATCAAATCAGGTTGGTTTATTTGGATTATTTTAACTAACTTTCGTTCAGAGTGCTCCTCTTGAGCTTTCTGATTAAAGAGTGGCTCTCAGGATTGGCCTCCACATGCACAGACAGACCGTCTATGGTGGTATATTTTGACTGACGAGGTTGACGAACAAGTGAAGTTCCGATAATCTCGACTCGTTTATGCTGAGCCGACACATTTGTGCCGTCTAAAGCAACATTTTGTCATGTTTTCTCAGGATCTCTCCAGCAGCTCAGTCCAACTATTAGCCTCATAGTCTTCAACTGAAACAATGCTCTCCTTCTCTACCTCAAGCATCCCGAACTGCTTGGTCTCGTACTCGCCTAAATGGAATAATTTCGTCAAATTACTAACTATCTTGTGCCTTACGCTCGTGTTGCTCTACTTTTTCTTACGATTCCCCGTTTGGAAGACCATCAAACCAGATGCTGGTGACCACAACTTGTCGTTCAAGGAGATGCAAGACTTCCTCATTCGCGCCATCCGCGAGATGGATCCAACGTCTGCGATTCCAGATGAAAAACATCTTGTCAAAAATCTGTCTGGCTACAACAACGGAAGCAAGAGTTGGCAGATCTGCCCAAAAATCTGCAGGATCCATAACGCCACGATCCCGACGAAGCTGAACGGAACGGATCCGCTGGAACTGAGGCCACCTGTTCCGCTGATCACAGCTAAACCCTCTTTCCATTCAAATACGACTTGGAGCGGACTGTATCCCGGCGGTCTCTGGAGCCCCTACAGCGTTGACAAAA